AATTCATTTGCATGTTCTTACTGTGCACTAATAGATTGTTTTCATTTCTGTTGTGTCTAAAGTATCTTCATATTCTTAACTAGAGCCTCAGTTTAAACGGGGGAAGGAAAAGGGTGACAGGTCTTTGTTTAGCTGTTTAATGAAAAGGGAATTAAAGGAGCAGTGTACACTAGCTGTGTGGAAAGCCTGCTAATGGACTATAACAGTAATTTCTACAGTTCTACAGATTCTCATCTGATTCTGGAAAGCACATGTGTTCTGATTTCAGAAAGCAGCTGCTTTAAGTAAGGGTGCTTAAACACATGTTCATCCTAAAGGATGTGCTTTGTGGTTACTGCAAGTTCTGTTGAACAGTGACACTTTCCAGGAGGAGGGTGTATATTTAGGGAAGGTACAGCTCACTTGATTGCTAGTTGGACCAGCTAAAATCTGGTAAGAAAAAATTTTATTTGTTATCATCCATTTTAATGAAAGACTGTCACCCTAAATTCCCGAGAATGCCAGTTTTGTGTCCTTGCATTCTGCAAGTATGTAAAAATACTTCTTTACTAAGCTACTATAATAGAATTTCTCATATTTTTCTAATAATACATTACTGCAAAGAGAGGTGCCCGACACAAGACTGACTTTGCAAATTACTGGAATATCCCCGAAGAAAGATCATGTTGGCTCTTAATTAAAGATCAAATTGGTTTCAGATTTTTCTGTCAGGAAGTCAAAACAACAAGGGCCAAAATCCAAACAGACCTATCAGAATATTTTCAAATATTCTGTAAGTAAGTTTGATCTGTGAGTTTCAAGAACTTAGACTGTTATCTTGTCAAAGGTCAGGAAAACCAGGAAGAGAAATTGAATTACTTTTACTTTATCCATGCTGAGGCAAAAAGTAACGGGGAAAAAAGATTGTAAGCATAAATGTTAATTAACACAGACATTTAAGGTAGTATTTCCTGTTTCCTAATATGGCCTATAGTCAATACAGGCATCAAGTGTTGCAATCATATAGCAATTTATATGAAATTGAAGTATATTTAGCATTTATTGTGCTATTCTTCCTGAAGCCTGTTTTGCCAGTAAGTTTCGATGGGTGTGTATTGGGTTCCTTGGGCACAACTAGACTTTATTCAGAAACTATGAAGATAAAAACCAAATCATGTGAGAAATTTATAGTGTTTGTGTGAAAGTCTAGGGCCAGCAAGCTTTTCAGTGCTCATTACTTTAAAAGACCAGTCAGTCAGAATTTTGTTTCTCATTTCCAGGGGAGGCTGTCACACAGTAGTGTTTATCCAAAGTTACCACACAGTGACACCAGAAGTGCTTGCTGTGTGTTAAGAAGAGACAGCAGCATGTTCCTGTGAGGCTGGTCAGGTACTGGAAGGGGTTGCCCAGAGAGGTGGAGCACTCTGTCCATAGTGTGGATAGAGACTTAACTGGATATAGCCCGGAGCATCCTGGTCACATTAGGCCTGCTTTGAGCAGGGATTGGGGTAGGGACCTTTTCTCCACCCTGGATTGTTCTGTGACTATAACCAAGGAGCAATGTCCGGTGGTCTCTCTGTCAGGAGGTTTTTAAATTGTGACTGCTGTGAGATGTTGTCGGTGTATCTTGCGGGTCTGTGATTCTGACTGCTATAATGAGTTCTGTCTTGATGTGGTAATGAGTTATCATATTCAGTATTCATCTCCCTTGTTTTTGTCACAGTTCTGTATGATTGTGTCATTTTTGTATTATTTGAAAGTATTTCTTCTATAAAATAAAATAATTTGCCATAAACAGAAAAACGGTTTTCTTGTATGTCAGAGATATTTCTTGAATCTTTTGTATTTGCCACATTCCTGATGATTTAATGGAAAAAAGCAATATTTTTGAATAACACTGTCATTTCGGTTAATGTAATGAATTTTCAAATAGAAGTGAGTGAGACAATCTGGGAAACTGAAGATGTAGAGAGATTATATTAAGACCTAAAAGAGGTGTGGAGTGTAAGGAATGGCAGATGTGTTCTTCCAAGTGCTTATCACTCATGATAAGTTGACAGCTTTATCAGAATGTCATATTTGAATATTCCCAGAATTCTTGGGTAGCTTCACTTAAAGCACGTTGAACTGCCCATTTTTCATAGCAAACATTTGCACTTTCTAAACTGATATTGAAAGCAAGTTGACATTATTAGTTCTGTAATATCCTACTTATGACTAATTCCAAGATGGAAACCACTCAAAAGAATACTGGTTGGCTTTTTTAGGCTGGTGTTTACTGCTGCTTTCACAAAGGAAACATTAAATCTTCAAAATTACAGAACAGCCATTTCTCAGTTTCCCTCTGCAACCCTAAGCTGCAGGAGCACAGGCAAAATCATAGCAAGGACATGTGACTCCTGTCTCTCCAGTATTTGCAAGGCATCAAGGGTATGACAGAGTTTAGGTTATTTTTAAACAGTCTGCTAGAAATAGACATTTGGAACGGCAACTGTCCCCATCTCGCTGCCGTCAGGAGCAACAACAGAAGCTATAATGGGTACGTCAGGTTGGGTTTTCTCCTATAAGAATGAAGTCTTATTTGGTTTTCTTTCTGCAGTTCTCTTAAGCACTTTGCAGGACTTAAAGGTAAGTGCAATATAAAAAGAATAATTGTTTTTTTAATGATTTAGATGAACTATGTCTTTTGCTTTCAGTGGATGTAAAACTGAAGTTTGAATTTTTAGGGAAGAGGGCCAGTCATAGCTTGTTTTGACCCTAACCTCCTTTGTGACTATAGTGTTGAACATCTTTGAGAGGAAGAGGCGTTTACAGAGAGACTTGAGAAGCTGCAGGCTAACAAAAGCAAGACAGCCTTGTCTAAAACGTCATGTGAAGAATGTATTTTTTTTCTCTGTGAGCACTCAGTTGACTTGAGTAGCATCAGAAGAAAATACCAAGGAGTAAAGTTGATATGGTTTTGGAATCTGTAAATGCCAATTAAATCATTTGCTTGCGCTTGGAAAATCTCCATATTCTTGGATTTCGAAGCTTCTTAGGAGCTGGTTCTGGTTCCTTACAATTTCTGAAAATCTTTTACATTTGAGCATAAATATCTATTGTATTTTCAACAGAGAATCAGGTATTCTGTCACTTTAGTCACTTTGTCTGCAGTTTAACCATCCAACTAAAAATGTACTTTCAGTAGGAGATTTAATGAGATCAGCTGGTAATAGACAAGATAAAACCAGGAAATTAATTTAGGAAAGTCTGTCCAGGAAAAAAATGTAGGATTGAAACCCTAACACTTTAAGTGCACAAAATCACTATTATGTGTTTAGGGCACAGTGTTTGTGTTCAAGTGTGTGGCTTTGGCATAGAAGTTCCCAGGTGTAGATGTTTCACCAAGTAAATGCTACTTCCTGTTTTCCGTATTTTCCTCTCAGAAACTGATTGAAGGAAATTGCAGTTGTATTATTGAGAAAATAAATCAAGTGGTCAGTGTTTAACTTCCTTCACAAATTCAATTAGCCTATTAATACTGATTTTAATGGGCACGAAGAATAGACACTGGCAGGAAGCTGGCACTAGTATCACTTTTCCACATTTCACTGACATGAAAGGTTATGAAGGCCTGGAGCTATTACTGATCTATGACTGGTAGAGGATTATGATCTGCAGTGCTGTGTGTGAAGGGCATAATCAAACCTCTTCTCTAAAGGCATGGTTTTTGCTCCAGAAATGTGTGGGAACTTCAGATGAAGCAAGTTAAGTTCAAATTTCTCAATGAAATCCAGTGTGGCTTCTGCATGGGGAGTCCTTCGCAGAAATACGTGGCACATCCATAAATGACTGCTCAAGCACACTGGAGCAAAAAGGTCTTCCAGAACTGAATTCCTTCAACTTTGAAGTGAATGGGAGTCACTCATGTGCCTTCAGTCACCTGTATTTTCATGGGTGCTTGTGCAAGACTTCCCTATACTCAGCTGTTGTATCTGCTTGGAAATACAAAGCCTCTGCCTGGTTACCTGTAGGGGTAAACCCAGTCTGCACAATATTCAAATACAGAAAGCTGAACAGTAAGGTGAATGACCTCAAATAGAACACACTGCACACGTACAAACATTACAAGGTCTTCAGAAAGAACAGTTACAGCCTCTGCCTAGTGGCTTGTACAAAATTTTTGGTAATTCTTGCCTTCTTGTATAAATCAAATACATTGCTGAGTATGATAAAATTCTTAAACATTCCCCTTGCCCCTCAAAAAAACCCTCAAAACAAACCAAAACCCAAACAACAAAAACCAAAACCAAATAAAACCCCTGAGATTACAGTTCAGATGCTATACAGTGTTAACCAAAATGTGAAAGTCAGGCTATAATTGCCTTTTCAAAAAAATATTTTAGGAAGTTCTAGCCTTTCAATATGTGAGAAAGCTTTAAGGAGATGTTTTGAAAAGTAAAAACAGGCTGGCATCCAGGAGAGGATCTTTCAAGCAGTGACAATGGCATTGAAAAAAAGGCAGATGGATGGTGGGATGAATTAAGAAGTGAAGGTAATAAGGATGAAAGCTTTGAGGGAGGTTTGCAGGGCATGAATATGACACGTAAGATGGAAGGAAGTCAGTTTGGATAAGCTTGAAATGCAGTGCCAGAAAAATAGCTTGGGATAGTGAAGTTGCAGTTTGTCTCATTTCCAAGCTGCTGTGATTACAGATTTCACAGGGCAGCAACCTGGCCTGCAGAGTCACCAGGAATCCTTGCTGCTGTGCACACAGACACTTCTATGCTTTTACCCTCCTAAGAAACGAGAATGTTGAAAAAAAATACACAGAGCAGTTGATTAGCTCAGGTTAGGGAGGCAAAAAAGCAGCGTGTTGCAGTGGTGCCGGAAGCGGCAGGGCAGGGTTAAGAGGCTTCCGTTTAATCCCGCAGGACTGCGGGCTGTGCGTCTCCCCCCACCAGAGATCCTATAGACGGAGGATGCAGTCACGTGATTGTTACTGCTTCCTCCCCATGACATCACTGCTGCTGCAGCCATACCGCCCAAGGAAGGATGCTATTAAAACCCTTGCGATTGGGCTAAATGATGTTGCATTGCAGGTAAGCGACATAATTCTTCGGAAAAAAAATCATTTGCCAGTTGCTCTTGTGCTGCAGTCGTAGAGCTTCAGCTCCGTCGGGCAGAGTTTGTGCTGGAAAATAAAGCAGCACATTTTCTCTGCAAACAGAGGGTTTGCAGGTGCAGAGGCTGCCTGCTGGCTCTGTGCTTGATCTCCCGGCTGACATCTCCAGTAGAAATGCTGCCAGATGGAGCTTTATAGCTAAAGAAGGCCTTTTGTTCCCTGTACTTTCCAATGGCTCCTTCGGGTGTCTGCGGAATTCTGTATTTACGTGAGCAGCCATCATCATTCAGTCGTGCAAAGAGAGCAGCAATAGAGTTTTGCTTGCATCCCCTGCCTTTTTTTTTTTTTTTTTTTTTCCTGGATGCTTAAAGGAAGTTGCTCTTGTGTCTAAGCTTATAAAGGAATGAGGATTAACTTGCCTGAGGGGTTAAGAGGTGTATTTGGGGAAAGAGGCTTTTCCTTAATTGTTAATTTTTGCTGATGTGCTTTCAAAGCACCTAGTCCGACAGGTTTCCTGCATAATTTGCTGTATTAAAACGTCGGCTTTTCCTTGTCCTATATAAATATGAAAAATCCTTTTCCAAAAGGAACGTAGGAGATGACAAGTGGATTTTTGTTCCCTTGCAAAATGCCGATCACCAAAAGGCTGAAAAATCTATGGCAAACCATGCTTTTGGACTTAATATTTGTGGAAGCAAAGTCCAGAGTCTGTTTTCCTGGTGTGGATGTTTAATTCTGTGCTCTGTACAAATACATGAATATATTTGTATATTTATAATATATCTGTAAAGGAAAAATGGTGACTCTCCTGTGGGGCTTTTTTTTTTTCTGTATAGCTTTTAAAATACATTTTAGGTTTTTAAAATTCTTAATTTTTTTAAACTTTATTCTAATACAAATACTGTGAGAAACTAAATTAATTTTGAGTTTATACTAGTCAGAAAAGAAAATTATATATATTTTTTAACAACTGTGATTAATAATCCTGTGCCTTTGCCAGAGAATAGAAGATGACTCAGCTGCAGCTTCATCAGGCAGAGTCAGGTGACTTTTTACTCCTGGTCTACAGGAAGTTTTTTTTTTATTCTTCCAAATCCTGTTCTTTGTTCAAATAATTTTTTCCCACTATTGGAAAAATCTGAGAATTTGGCACGCCTAGAACTTCTGTGTGCTCACCCATACATTAAGGGGGGATATTTTGGATCTCCCATGCCAAAGTAGATTGTACATCCTAGTGAAGAGTGAATTCTGGTTTCCAGTGATCAGGTGTTCCAGTTGTGTCAGGATCAGAAAATAAGTTGTGTGCAGGGGGAAAGTAGATAATGAATTATTAAAGTACAAAAGGACACTGGTTTTTCCAAACTGAAAAGAAAAATTTCAATTTTATTTCTCTTCAACAGAATCTCTCCTGTTATTTCAAGACTGAGCCTCTAAAGTGATAGAAATACAAACCTGTTGCTGCATGAGGTGATGGGGGCGGGAGGGAAATTGCATCCTGTCGGTGCCAATGCTGGGTTTCTTCTCCTTGATTCCTCCTAGAGTCCAGGCTGGCTCAGTTCTCTCCAGCACTGGCTGTGGGCCAAGCTGTGCTCTTTCTGCCCACCAGGCTCACTGAGACTTGGCTCTTTGCCCACACAAGGAGCACAGCAGGGCTGCCACGCTCAGGTTCACAAGGGTGAGGGGTTCCCCCCTACTCTGGACCTTATGCAGTGCCCTATGGAAATATGTGCTGGACATGAGTTCCCCTGGTCTCTCAATTTGAGTCAGACATCTGTGCAAGAAGGCAGGGCAGAGGGCACCAGCCTTATATGTATGCTGGGGCCTCTTGGAAATGAAGGATTTAAGTGCCTTAAGAGTTACTCAGTATTACAGAGGGTCCTGGGTACATTTGGAGCTGGAAGGTGCTCTCCCTGGCAGGACTGGGGTGCCGTGTGAGGGCTCCAGCACATGGCTGCAGAGTGCTCAGCCCCTGTGCCCACAGGGGCCTCTCTTACAAAGGTTGTACCTTTTCACAGTAGTGGCTGGTAGCTTTTAAAGAGGGACCAGAGGAGGAGATAGGGAGTGTTGACCCTGGGTTAGAGAACTTCCTTCCTATCTGCCTGAACCCAGCAGGCCCCTCTGGAGCGCTGTAACCTCCTGGGGCTGGGAACTGCTTCATCACAAAGTTGTTGTTTGCTGACCTGGAGGGCAGCATGAGCAGGACTGTGACTGTAGCCAGGTGCTACAGCAGAGGAAAAGGGGATGCTCCCAACCCTGAGTCTCCTCCACAGTCCAGAACCGTCTTGCTTGTGTTGGAGGTTGGTGTTGTGTTGTGTTCAGCCTCTCTCAGGCCTGAGCAACTCCTAGCTCAGCATAGTGCTCAACCCTCAAAAGTGGGTGATGCCCAGAGGTACCAGTGCTTTTCCTGGTTGTTTTTGCCATCACGCTGCAGCTTTCAGGGTACCCAACAGTGGGGGGTGTGTGTGTGTGTGTTAATTTTTCCTCTTAGTGACAGGTTTTAGAGAAAGATTCCTGATTAATTTTTTGTGTGTGCGTACATACACACCAGGTGTTGGTTTTTTCAGCTTTCTTCATCTCTAGCCTGGCAGAACTAAAAATACACACATGATTATTAATGCCAAAAGAGAGACTCTGGCAGGGTAACACTAGGCTGCTTTTCCTAAGGCACTTTTAACATTTTGCTCTTAAGCATCACCCCAAGGAATGTGTTTCCCCATCTTGCAGAAGCTTCCTCTCAGGGGGACGAAATAACTTGTCTGTAGCTGTGCAGCCCATCGGCATTGAATGCAGCAATGAAAGCCAGTGCCCTGTGAACAGGAAAACATTACCCTTCTGTGTGAAAGTGACCCACAGCCTCCACTCAAATCACGAGAAGTGATACGGTAGAACAGATTAATGGCTTCTCTAATGTAGGTTTATCAGCTTTATTTCAAGCTGAAGACTTAAAAAGGTTTTCAGAGGGGTCCACTGAGTGACACTGAACATCCCATTTCTTTCCCATGGAAGAGATGTCAGGAGTAACTGTATACCAGGGCAGTTCCCTTCTGACACTGCAACTCTGCTCTCTCTGAACGCATTCACTTTTTCTTTTTGCAGTTCCAAACCTGGTTTTCTCCCTTAATCTTAAAATTTTCTTAATGAAGAGGCAATGAGCAGAACTGGAACATGAAATCTGGTGCTGCAAAGCTCAGCTGCAAAGCTCCTTCATGAGGAGGAAAAACCCTGTAGCACCCCTGACTCTTCAGATGTGGCTTAGAGCTCCGTGGCAGTAAAATCCATGGGTTCAGAAGGGAAATTCCCCCTTTTTTTTGTGAAGAAGGGGGCTTGAGGGAAACCAAAGATAGAAACCATTTATGCTCCTACATTGTTAGGGCTGGTTTCCTGGGTGTCCTGTCTCCTGAAATGCGGTTTCTTACCCAAGAGTTGAAGGCATCCAGTGGTTTACCTTATCAAATATGTTTTATTTCGAGAAGTGAAGGGGGTGTGGGGTTGATACAGCTCATGAGTCTTGTCTGCCTAAACTTCTGGGCTGTTAGCAGAGGAGCATCCTTTAACAGATTTTTCAGCTCAGTTTCAAAACTGCAGATGAATGTTCCAGAGGCAGTGATGCTTCTCTCGTGCTTTTTCCACTCTCAAAATCTGCACTAACAAGTCAATTTATTGGAGGGACCTTTAAGACTCACTGGAAACAGAGATGTGAGTTTAACATTTTTTTATATAGAGCCAATTTTGGTAAAAATGCCATTTGGAGCTTGCAGGGAAAGAGTTGAGATTTTTTTTTTTCCCCCCTTGCCTTTATGACATAACTGAAAAGCTGAACTAATTTTGCTCAGACTTTCCAAGAAAACTTGAAGGGGGAGCAGGGACATGATATTTCATACCAAAAGAAATTGTTTTCTAAAGGGAGAGTCATTGTGGGAAGGAGCAGGGAGTGGGTGTGGGGGTGTGGTTTACCCCTCAGAGGAAGAGAATTTTTCTCAGGAGGAGCAAAGGAGAAGAGGGAGTCTGGCTGTGCTGGAAGGGTAGGCAGCCCTGTTGGTTGGGTGTCAGGTCCCGTCCATGGTGCCCCGTGCCTCCCTTCACCTCTGCTCCTGGCCTGCCCTGTTCTCTGTGCTCACCCGCTGAACTTGTGTGGTGGCTGAGGAGGGGCAGCTGGAGGCTGTGGTTTGGTCAGAAGAGTGCCTCAGTTTTCTGCCATTTATCCCAAATGTTCCCTCCCACCTTTCCCTTCTCTCCAAGGCCCTCTCCCCTGTGATCTGGTGCTCTGTGTTTTTTGAGCTCTGGCTTCATAACTTTTTCCATAGAGGTTATTCAGGGTAAAGCTGCACATCAAAGATGTGATTGTATTTAGCTTGACCACACTATCATAGCTGGAAACTCCATAATATGTGGTGGTGGGGCCATACAATAAAATGGTGCAATATTTTACAGTACTGTTTCTGACACTGCAGCCTGCCTGTGCCAGTGTGGTGAGAGGCTGAGGGTTTGCAGGGCTATTTACTTGTATTTGGAGGAGGTGCAGTTAGTCCTTGAATTGTAGGAAAGGCATTTGCCAATTTTAATATCTTGTCTTTCCTCTGTATTTTCTCAATTTCTAGGGAATTTTTCCCCCATATAATGTTTCAGAAAAAGGGCTGTAAGTGGGTTCAGCATTTTCTGCTTTTTCCAGGTGTCTGAACTTTATTACTCTGATTCAAGGACATTTTTATAAACTTCATCATTAAGGCAGGAGGTCAATAACTCGTTTGGCTCGCTCAGTCTGAAGCTTCAAAATTGAATAATCTTAAATTTCCTGTAAATATTTTTCAACCTATAGAAAATGACCCATTTAACTTGCTGGGGATTCAGCCTGCTTGCTCTTGCTGAAGAATTCTTCCTTGTAAAATCACCACCCAACAGTATCTTACTTCTTGTTGAGAATAATGTTTAATAACGGTTTACCTACTTGTTTACCTGTCTCCTATATCTCAACATTGC